GTCAACTACATGGGAGTCTAGTGACATAGCAATTATGCCAACTGCTGGTCCCTATATATATTTTTTCTTTTGGAGGGGTTTTTACTATAGGGTGCGTGCACTTGCCAGAAAGAGAGACAAAAAGTGAGAAATCACCCCCCAGGGGGAATGGCCTCGCTGCAGTCTCCTCTCCTCCATTCTCCTCTCGGGATTTTGGGTATGCATGCACACGCGCCCGGCGTGAGTTTTAAGCCACCGGGTCCAGGACTAGAACTGAGCTCAACTCCATGAGAGTCCAGCGACATAGCCATTACACCAACTGCTGGTCCCCTGGCATGATTTTCAAGACGCAGGATCTAGGACTTGAACCGCAGAGTGGGTGGTGTGGGCTCCAGCGCCTTCACCACCACGCCACCTGCTGGCCGTGAATGTCATGATGTTATCGCGCCCATCACTCGAAAGCGCTCCCCAGTGACCTCTGCCATCTCTGTTCTAGAAAGAAGGTGCGCAGAGCGGCCAGCCGTCCAGCAGGAGCTCCCGAGCTTCCGCCCGTCCCCAGGAGCGGAGCGCGGCGTCCCGGGGGAAGGCCACCTCGGACAGTGAGGTCTCGGAGCAGCTGAGCGCCAGCTCGGCCTCGGCTGCCCAGCAGGCCTCCCCCACCAGCAGCCGGCCGTCCTCGGAGGCCCGGATGGTGAGCACTGTGAGCTCCGCGTACTCCGACGATTTCGAAAACTCTGTGAGCCAGAGCGCGTCTGAGCCGACGGCGCGTTCCGGGGCATCCCGGGACAGGACCCCGGGCCCATCTGAACCGTCTTCCAGCCTGAGGTCGAGCCTGGTCACACCCACACCCAGGGCCAGCAGAAAGTGGGGCAGGGACAGGAGGAGGAGAGTCACTGTGAAGGAAACGGCCGTGCAGACCCCGGATCCCGCCTTTGCCTACCAGTGGGCTGCAGGTAAGTGTGAGGGCCCCTGGGGGCCAGGGCGCTGGGACATGCTCCACGTCCCCCCCACGGCATCCTGGGAAAGACGCAGAAGAGCTGGGGTCCCCAGAGCTGGGCTGGTTTTTTTTCTGAGAAGTTTTTGCAATAGGGCGCAGGTGCTCGCCAGAAAGACAGAGAGAGACAGAGAGACAGAAAGTGAGAAATCACCCCCCAGGGGGGATGGCCACGCCGCAATCCCTCCTCCTCCATTCCCCTCTCGGGATCTTGGGCACGCACGCACACACGCCCGGCATGAGTTTAAGCCACCAGGTCCGGGATGCGAACCGTGGTCAACTACGTGGGAGTCCAGCGACATAGCCATTACGCCAACTGCTGGTCCCTCCAGAGATGTTTTATTGTCGCATTCATGGATGAGAAGATTATTGCGCCACATCCCGCCTGCCTCACTCCCTGCCCTCCCTCTTTGTCCCTGAGACAGGGGCCGGTGTGGCGGCCATTGGACCTGCCCTGGGGGCTGCCTACGTGGACCCGGTGCCCATCGCTAGTCACGTCATCAGCGCCGACGCGATAGAAGGTAACAGCCCAGCGTGGCGGGCCCTGGGGGACGCGTCTTATCTGTAAATCCCTGCCCCCTTTAATGCAGGGTTCGGGGAACCCATGGGTGGGGACCGTCAGAGCCACATGCCACGGTCATCGTTCATAGGATCTTGGATGACAGCCCGAGTACCTGTGAGTCTGTCTCACAGTCAGACACCCACATCCAAGAACGAGGGAGGGGAAAAGGAACACACCTCGGGCCAGGGGGTGGCGTGCTGGTTAAGGCCTTGGAGCCCACATGGCTGACTGGAGTTCAAGTCTCGGACCCCTGCACCACCAGGCTATGGGGCCAGCTCCAATTTTCATTTTAAGAATTTTTATTATTATTTTTTTTTAAGAGAGAGATTTGGGCTGTAAGGCATGTGTACTCTCCAGAGAGACAGAGACACAGAGACAGAAAGCAAGACATCACCCCCGAGGGAAACAGGCATGCTGCAATCCTTTCTCCTTTCTCCTCTCATGATCGTGGGTGGGCACACACACCAGGCCTGTTTTCAAGTCACTGTTTCAGGACTCATCAACTATGGAGCTGCCCATGTGGGAGTCAGGGCCTTAACCCGCCATGCCACCCGCTAACTCCCGAATTTTTCACTGCTAATTTAATTTGTAGTTTAGCTTTTAATTAACACAGTTTTTTTTAATTGCCAGAGGGCGTGTGTGTTTGCCAGACAGAAGAAAGCATCCCCAGCGGGGCCCGGTCATGCCACAATCCCTTTATCTGCTCTTTCTCCATTCCACCAGGGATTGCACACACACACACA